TGGGCTGGCAGAATGGCTCAAGCAGGATAGTGCCTGCCTAGCAATTGCGAGGCCCTGAGTTCAAACCCCAGTACTGCAAAAAAAGAAAAAAGTTTTTAAAAATTAGTGTATGGATAAAAAATGAAAAGGCAAGCCATGCAAACAAGGACTATGCATTTGCAATATGTGAATCTAGAGCATCCTGCAAAGTATTCTTACTTTCTTCTTTCAGGAAACCAGCTGTGCCAAAAAGAAACCTACATTATTAAAAATGGCAAATGACTTTAAAGAGATGTTCAAAGAAAAAAGTAAGTATGTGCGATAGGTACACAACAAAGTGCTCCACATCACTAGTTATTAGAGAAGTGCAAAGCAAGCCACAGTGAGCTAGCACCTCACCCTCGGCTGGAGGGCTCCAAGGCAAAGGCCCAGCAACACTAACTGCAAAGGTAAGCACCGACGACAGCTCTCACGTCACTGGGGCATAAAGTAATATGACCACTTTGGATATGGTTTGGCAGATAACAAACCACAAGTTTAAGTACAGAAACTTCAACATGTATTTACCATATGATCGAGGTATAAATACTTGGGTATTTATCCAAGATAAATGAAAACCATATCCACAAAAAGTCTCCTACCTGAATGTTCACAGCATATTTTTCAAAATGACCAAAACAATCCAAAGGTCTACAAACAGGTGAGTGGATAAACTTGGTTTATTCATACCATGGATCACTACCTAACAAGAATATGGTACTGCTACCTACAATGATGCGGGCAAATCACAAACATGAGTCCAGGTAAAAGAAGTCAGACATGAGCACACACTGAATGGCTCCACTTATGTGAAGTTTTAGAAGTGGAACTAGTCTATCAAGATGGAAATAAATCAGGTCAATGGGGCGGACTGGAGGAGGTGTAGATAGGAGTGAGGACATGGGCACAGGGGTTTCTAGGTAATGCAAGTGTTCTGTATCGTCACAAGGTGATGATTAATTACACAGAGGTGTGCACCTTTCAGATCTCACTCAATAATACATTTTAAGTGTATGCATTTATTATATGTAAATTGCCCTGCAGTAAAGTTGGCTCAAAAGAAAGGCATCACATCTAGATTTGTTCTAAAGTTTTGAATTACATAAATTTTAACAACTTTTTTGTTTGTTTTTGGCAGTACTGGGGTTTGAACTCAGGGCCTCACACTTGCTAGGCAGGCATTCTACTACTTGTGCCACCCCACTAGTCCCTTAATTACATAAATTTTTCAAAGTCTACATGCCTCTAGGTAACAAGAGCAGACTACTTGCAAATAATTTAAAAATCTGGTACCATATTTCTCTTTGGAGATACTAAGTAAGAAATGATAGTGGCAATATTTATAATCATTAAAGAGAGAAAAGTGACAAAAAGTTTGTACCAGCTGGACATGGTGGCACATGCCTATACTTTCAGCACGCCAGAGGCTGAGGGAGGAGGATTGTGATTTCAAGGCCAGCCTGGGCTAATGTAGCAAGATCCTATCTCCAAATAAAAAAAAAAAAAAAGTTTAAATCTAGCCGAGAACTGTTCATAAGTGAGCACAACTGAAAATAAAAAAAAGGGAGCGCGGAAAACATATCTTAAGCTCATCCTTCCAGGAAAAAACATTGAAATCTTTCCCAGCCTATTGAGAGACAATTCAAACTTAAGAACTCAAGAGTGAAGGAAGTCTAAATACTTGAGAAAAATATGATTTGAAATGGGATGAAAATGTAAAACAATAACAGTTAGAAGAGAAGACATATTACAAAAACAAAATGTAGCGATAATACAAGCCCCAAATCCCAGATTTATTATTTTTTTATCTGTCATGAGTGGGATCCAGAGCTACTAGTTAACAAAGTTGTAAAATACTCATCTGTAGAACACTACAGTCTTAAAAATAACACGGAAGTTCTTTATGTTCTGATCCGACATTGCTGTAAGATGAGTGTGTTCTAGAGAGGGAAACACAATGTACAAATGTGTACAGACTAATGCAACAGAATAAAACATTACACAAACAGAACTGGTAACTTTGGTTGTTGTCTTAGGGGGAGAGTTCTTGGCGGCTGGGAGATAGGGGTAAGAAGCAGACTTTATTGTAAATATGTCCTTTTTTCATTTACAAATGTCCTGGTTTGATTGATTGATTGATTGATTTAGGCAGGCAGGCAGGCAGGCAGTGGTACTGGGGTTTGAACTCAGGGCTTCACACCTGCTAGACAGATGCTCTACCACTTGGGCTGCACCTCCCATTCCCTTTCTGCTTTAGTCAGGTAGGGTCTTGTGGTTTTTGCCTGGGCAGACTGAAACTGTGATTCTCGTATTTACACTTCCCTACTGGGAGTGACAAGTGTGCGCCATCACACCTTGTTTGTTGACCGAGGAGGGGGGGCGTCTTGCTAACTTTTTGCCTGGGCTGGCTCCAATCGTCATCCTCCTGGATCTTTGCCTCCCAAGTAACTAGAATTACAGACATGAGCCACTGTGCCCAACCATAAATGTCCTACTTTTAAAATGTCCTTTTAAAAATAAAATTTGTAAATATATTGTTCGTTTTGCTTAAGAATCAAGTAAATACTCAGCAAATTCAGCAAAGACTTTGGTTCTTATGCTTACGTGATAAAGAAGAGATAACAAACTAGGAAAGATAAACGATCTTGAAATGGTTGGTTTCCTACTTGGAAAAAAGACAATACTTAGTCCTCATTTCACGACTTATTGAGAATAAGTTACAGAGCTAAATTATAAATATTAAACTATAAAATATTAAAAACCACCACGTTAATTCTAGACCAAAGGAAATGTTCCTAGAGAAATCTGATAAATTTGATTTCACAGAAATTTAAATCTCCTATAGATAAGAAACATTGTACAAAATTAAAAGGCACACTCCCAGGGAAAAACACTTTTGCAAATATGGTAAAAGATTAATATCTTTATTTTTTTAAAGATCCAATCAATCAAAGCAAAAACAAGACAACTTTTTGAAAACCTCACTGTTCTCTCAGTATAAACACAAAGCACATGAGAGCATGTGGCACTTATCAGTAACCACAGAGGTCCAAACTAGAGAGAGGTTCCTGAAATCTGATGAGCAACATTCCAGGAAACAGGGACCCTCAGAATTACTGACCAGGGCGTAAAGTGGCATCATTTTTTTTGGAAAACTACATGGCCTGTGTGACAAGAGCCTTTAATATGTTTATATGTTAGACTAGTACCTCTCATTTAAATAAAATGTTTCCTAAGAAACACCATCTTAAGTGAACTTAGCCAGGTTCAGAAAGACAAAAGCTGCATGATTTCTTGCATATGTGGAATACAGACCTAATACAAACATAGCAATTATTATGAAAAATAGGTCACGCTAAGGGGAAGTCACTAATGGGAAAGGATGGGTAAAAGAAGGAAGTTAAGAAGGTGAATATAGTTGATGTACTTTCTATACAAGAATGAATGAAGAATTTTTAAATCTGTTGAAATCACCATAAAAAGGAGACTAAGGTAGAAAGGAGAAAAGCAGAGTGGATGAACCAATTTGGGTTATAATACATATATACATGGAAATATCACAAGGAAACTCCCTGTAGAGCTATCTTAAACAAACAAAAATGTCTTTTTTCTTTCTTTTTTTTTTTTTTGGTGGTACTGAGGTTTGAACTCAGGGTCTTGTGGTTGTTAGGCACGTGATTTACCATTTGAGCCACTCCACCAGCCCCAAAATGTCTTTTTTCAAAAACTGAGAACAGGAAGGTAAAATAGGTCCTGTCTGGAGGTTGGCACCAGTAAGAGGGGGGAGGATATAAGGAAAGAATGTAGGAGAGTGAATGTGGTGGAATATTATGTACTCATGTATGAAAATGGAAAAATGAGACCTGTTGAAACTATTCCAGGAATTAGGGGGGATAAATGGGAGTGATGGAGGAGTGAATTCAACTATGACATATTGTAAGAGCTTTTGCAAATTTCTCAATGTACCCATAGTATAACAATAATATGATGATAAAAAAACATAAATAAAATACACACAAAAAATGTCTCCTAAGGAACTTTATAATCAGGAAACTATCTGGAAATAATAAAATATCTAATAATATGGGCATGTTAAATTATTGTATTCACACAATAAGAGTATGCCAACATTAAAATTAAATTTAAAAATAGTTAACAACCTGAAATATGTTCAACGTGCACTGAGTGAAAAAACAGAATAAACACTGTTATATGCTATAACAATTTTGAACAAGTCCTACATACATATAAATTTTAAAGACTGCAGAGAAATGCATGAAAATGTGAGCGATAATTTTTTGAATTATTTATTTGTATTGCTTTTACCTTTCTGCATATGTTGAAGTTTCTGTAATAAGTATGTGAGAGAAGACACCCTATTTTAAATAAGGAAATATTACAACTACAAAAATGTGGCCGGGCATCAGCATCTCAGGATGTCACCTGAGGTGTTCATTACTGAATAAGCCAGCCCTTCACAGCTAGAACCCAGCTGGGTATTACCATTGCCCCACCTTTCTGAAACATCTTTGGTCCCGAGCTTCACGTAGGCCAACAGTGTGCAGGACAGACCCTTCACAGGACAGTCCAATTTCAGCTCAACAAAGTGAGTAATCATGAACCCGGCACATCCAAACCACAGACAACTCAACCATAATGGAGTTTCCGTGACATACTTGCCTGCCCAGAAAGGCTTCAACCAAGACCACCCGCGTATGGCCCACAAATCCCCAGGAGAAAGAAACTGCTGAAATAATCCACAAATCGATAACTCTGACGCGAAGACCCCAAACCCCACACCCAGACTCCCAAGGCCCCTCCCCAGACTGGCTTGCTTTCTCTGGCAGGGTGCTGCATGATACGTGCATTTCCAAGCCAACTAATAAAGCAGCTCTGTAAGGTTTGGAACAACGCTGCTCATTGGGTTCCTGGATCCAGCATGTGTGCAACACATAAATAAGCAAGGAACACATGTACAGTACCTTCGCGAAGCGGTGTTGGTTTGGCAGAATTTTCTCCACTCATTAAAACAACAAAAGATGCAGCTGCTCGAACTGTGGCCTGCCATGTTGACATGGCAACGGGTGGCTCCTGGCATGGAAAAAGGGCCCTGTTGTTTATGGGAGATCCCATCGTGTAAACACATGGCCTGCAGAAGAAAGACAAAGACACAAAGGGGAGCATCTTTAAAATGAGTTGTCACTTCTCACCACCATGGGAGGGAAGGGTACATTGAGCTTTCAAAGGGAAAACATTTGAGGCTTTGTAGTTGATTGCTTTCAAGGCGCACTGGACTAGGCCTGCCAAGGGGCTGCTACATGAATAACCGAGTGGTTATTTCACCCAAATGAATTACTTAAATATGTAAAGAGGTGTTTTTTCTTTAAGAAGAAAAAAAAATTGGATAAAGTTTTAAATGCTAGTCTGCCAAGTTATAATTTATATTAACCTTGCCCCCTCCCCTACCCCCCCCCACCTCAGGCCCTTATGCCTTCAAAAGAAAAAAGTGAGACATTCCAACAAACTTTTTGGAAAGTCTTCTGGGAAAGAAAATATGTTTGGAGATCACTGAGATATTAATGCCTGGAAAAACAAGCTGGTGGTCTCCAACCCAGTGCTGGCAGCAGATACCCCTAATCTTGGAAACCACCTTCCCAACTGGAACCCTTGTGGGAATCCCTGTGTGGGAGCCAAGAACAGGGGCTGGCACACAAACAGGACTGTAGGTCACAACAGCCAGGCTGCGGCGGGAGGGCAGAGAGCTACCAAAGCAAGTGCACAAAACCAATGGCCCGGCGCTGGGACTCGTTCTGCTACAGCTAAAAAACACACATCTTCCCCAACCAAGAAAGGTCCCTTCCACTGTGTGTCATGGTTGACAGAGATGGCAAACAACCACAAAATCTAAGGGACCTGCTTGTTCTTTTGGCACCACAGAGACAAAGAAGCAAGACTGACTCCTTGGGAAAACAACTTAGGGAAATCTTCCTTTTTTTTTTTTTTTGGTTTGTTTGTTTTTGAAGAGTTATAACAAATATACCCTTTTAGTCAGCTTGACGTGCTCAGGCACTACTTCTTGCAGATAAAACTGCTTTCTTTTTTTTTTCTTTTTTGGTGGTTCTGTGGTTTGAAAAGTCAGGGCCTCACGCTCACTAGGCACGTGCTCTACCACTTGAGCCATTCCACCAGCACTCCCTTTCTCATTGACATCACGACTGCACATTTATTTCTTCCTATAATGTGCAAGAACACACAGAATGATGGCCCGACACTATCAGGATCTGGAAAGGAAAAAGAGAAACCAGTCTAGGGCTTAATAAAGAAGAAACTGATTACACAATGCATAGAAAAAAAGAGCTGGCAGGTCAATCAGGAGACAGTGAGGTGACCCAAGATCAGTCACAACAGCAAGCAGCCATGACACCTCGGAATGGAGGAGCTGGTGTTACCCAGCCATAGTGGCAGGCAGGGGTCATATGGCAGAAGCCAAAGTCACAAGGGGACTGATTATCTGATAGGACCTGGGACTCCAGAGGAGCTCAGCCAACCTGAGCTGCCAAAGGCAGCTCGGAAAGAAGAAATGCCTTGTTCCCACCAACTCCTGCTCTCCAGTTCCATCAGTGCTCCCCCTCAACTAAACCTAGGCCAGAAAGCAGAAAAGAGCCTGGGGAACGAAGCTCCTTGAAGATCCAGAAGATGGGTCTTAGGGCTAACACTGGATTGCAGTACACTATCCTAGAACTGTACATCCAACATAACTCACAGACTTGACATGGGGCAGGAAGGAGTTCAGAAAGTCAGAATACATTAGACCTGGTTGGCTTAACAACTTATTAACTGACCCCAGAAAAGTCCCTTCACCTCTCTGTGTCACAGGTAAAATGGGGGAGGGGAAGGTGGAAGGGCAGCAGGTAACCTTTATTATCTCTCCTGATCAGTAAGTCTATGATTCTGTATCTCAAGTTTATAGATCCAAGAGTAAAGAGCAAATTTTCATCAAGGCCCAGAACCTCCCATCAATCACTTTCAATGAGTTCTGAGCTCCTACACTGATCCCTGTGGGTCCTTGGATAATGACTGCACCTTAGTCAACTGTCCAGCCTCAGGCTATTTAAGGACTTAATGAGGGGACTGCTAGTGTGCACCTCCTCCCAGGTGGGGCCTTAGCCATGAGGACCATACAGCAGCTCAAATTGCTCTCATAGGCGGGGGCAAGGCATATCTAATTCAGAAAATTCTCCCTAGCAGGTGTTTTGTTTTATTTCCCAAAAAGCCCATCTTAGAGGAGGGTCCTAAGAAGGAAAAGAATCAGAAGGGACATTCCAAATGGCTTTTTTTTTTTTTTACAGTACTGAGGTTTGAACTCAGGGCCCTGCACTTAGTACGCAGGCATGCTACCACTTGAGCCACTGGGCCTACTCCTGAGAGAAGGCTTTCCTTCTCAGAGAAACAGAATTTTTCTTGTTCAAGAGTTCCAGGAAGCCATGTCCAACCTAGTACACTTGTGGGGTTAAACTTATTTGCAATGTTCACAGGGAAGCAAAGCCCTTGCGTGAGCTCTCCTGAGCTGTGGGCTGAAGTCCTTAAGGCGCTTAGGCCAGTCTCTGAGTGTCTCTGCTCACAGCACCTCATTAGCCTAGGGGGACTGCTGTGACAGGGCTATCCCTCCCTGCACAGGGAATAAGTCTTTCCCCAAAGACTGGCTTGCCAAGATGTTGTTCTCTTTCTCCCTACAGGGTTGGCTTGGAGGACATGCCAGCTTCTCATAATGCACACCACCTGTGGCCTTAGGTGTGTGGTCCAGAGGCTTCTTCCATCTGCCTCCACAGCTCTTCCCTGCACAGTCCACCAGATTTGAGATGAGGTAATAGCTAACAAATACCTCCAAGGAAGAATTAGAAGGATGTAGTAAGCAAGTTGCTAGAGAAGGCCTCTGAGTAGTGACTTCTAAGCTGGTCCCCAGTGCCCCTGCCCTCTACTGTACTCATGTGTCATTACACAGTTACCTCCAACTGTACCAGGGTCGGTCTCTATGATCAACACTATAGGGAAGAGGTGATGGCATGCACCTCTGAGATGAGATTTGCAGAGTTCAATGGCTTTTGTCTTAGGGGTTCTTTTCTCTCCCTCTCTCTCATCATTTGCTATGGGGCAATTCATCCAATGCATCATGAGGACACTCGGGCAGCCTAAGGAAGGGCGCCTATGGTGATGAACAGAGACCTCCGGAGCTTGCAGCAACCATGTGAATGAACCTGGAAGAGGATTTTTCCCTCCAGCCAAGCCTCAAGATACCAACAGGCCCAGCTGACTGCTTGACTACAACCTGGGAAGAGTCCAGCCAAGCTCTCCTGTTATTTCCAGTCCTCAGAAACTGGGAGGTAAGTATTTTTTCTTTTAAGCTGTTTTCTTTTTCTTTTCTTTCTTTCTTTTTTTTTTTCTTTTGGAGTAATTTACTTTACAGCTACAAATAACAAACAGAATTTCCCAAGGTTTGTGGCTCAAGTGACAAGACAGATGGTAAAGCTATTTATTATTATTATCAGTATTACTGGGGTTTGAACTCAGGCTTCAAGCTTGGTAGGCAAGCGCTCTACCACTTGAGCCATGCCTCCAGCTGTGGATGGTGAAACTATTTAAACAAGAAACCCAAGAAGGGATGAAGGAGAAAGTCAGAGGGCGCCTGCCTGTTTAATCTGTTGATAAAAGGTTAACACATCATGCAGCAAGGGCTGCATTAGAAAATCCCAGATTTTCTAATCCCATTCAGTGTCATGGCCAACAATAGGACTGAGTGTCAAAATCAGAACTCAGGAAATTTAGGAGTGGTGATTTTATGAAGTAGAAGACAATGACACTGAGGCAGATTTGAGTCAGGGTGCCAGCAAAGTGAGGGGAAATCGTTCACTGACTAAACTAAAAAACATGTTACCCCTCTATTCCTCCCCAACCCTGCATTATGCCCCTCTAACTAACTATCTAGCTGTAGACTTTTTGTTCTAAAATTTTGTCCTGACCCCTTCTGCCATGCTCTTGAAGGCTCCTTCTGTCACTCAGTGCCTGAGCACCTGAGCTCTCCCATCACAGGCCCCCAGAAAGCACTCACTTCCAACCTTCCCAATGTCCTCACAGTTCTCTTTCCTACCCTCTCTTCATGCAGCTTGAGGATCCTATCTCTTAAAGCCTAAAATGTACTTTCTTCCTGGCTTCCCACTTAGTATCCAGAGCTGTACCTCTTGCAAGTGTAGCTCACTCATGTCATCAACCTGAAAGCTATACCCGTAAATATACCCATGTCTAATGGGACCCACTCTCTTTTGAAATGTTTTCACAGATAGCAAGAGCTCCTATGCACAACTTTTTTGGGGGGCGGGGGTGCTGGGGTTTGAACTCAGGGCCTCATACTTATAGGCAGGCTCTACCACTTGAGCCACACCCCAGCTGTTTTTCACTTCAGTTATTTTTTTAAAAAGAATCTCAAGTATATGCCCCAGCCTGGACTGTGATTCTCCTACCTGTACCTCCCATATAACTGGGATGGGGTCTCACTAACTTTTTGTCTAGGCTGGCCTCAAACCAAGATCCTCCCAATCTTCACTTCCAGAGTAGCTAAGATTACAGATGTGAGCCACCAGCCTTGGCTTGGCAGAGCTTCTTGAAAGTGCAGACTGTCTTTGTGCTCCCAGCCCACTCCTTCCTAGCCTTTTCTTCTATCCCAGCTGCAGGCCCACACCTCCCTCCCAACTTGCCCCAACCCACTGCCAGACACTAAGACTTTACAACCAAAAGCCTCTGATCCTTTACAGCTCGGTTCCTCATGCACACCTCATGTCTTCACACCACACATGACTGAAAAATGGCGTAAAGTTAGGTGACCATGTTTTCACAGAGATGAAAAGTCAGTCCTCTAAGAACATGGGCATCTGCCTATAGATGGAGGAAAGGTAAGCATGGGGCCTCCACATTCCCCACAAACTGATTTAAGGGCAAAGATGGCTCCCACTACATACACTCAAATGAGAGCTACTCATTTAAGTAGCTAGCTCCTGGAAGGCTAGTTCCCTGTGCCCAGCCTCTCACCCAGAGAGGAGGAAAATCAACTTTCGTTCATAAACAGGCTGTGCGGTATCTGAATGTGTAATCACTGAA